GTTCTTTGAGCAACGAGCGCCCATTTAAGCCTTCCCGGACTTAATGATGTCCCAGGCACTTTGCAAACCGTGGAAAAAGAATTTTTTACCAAACTCGGCCTCATAAGAAGTGCCCGTTTCACACGAGCCCCGATCAAAACCTCTCCACTCACGAAGAGAGCCGTTGAAAGGAGGACGTTACCACGCAAACTCGAACCTTTTAAAGCTAGAACCGGCTCCCCGCGGAAAAAAAAACCGGAAGTCGTTTGTGACGCGACTGAAAATGTATAAATAAACTTACTTCTGTTGACCTCCACGCTGCTTTCGTCTGAGCTTTCCTTTAATGTAAAGACCTATGGTACAAATGAAATTTCTTCACACACCGCACATACGTGTGCACTCTAAATCAGAAAGATCTGTTTTAGCCCTAAAAACAGGGCCGTTTCGGTGAGTAAAATACACTCCTATTTTTGGGTCTAATTTGGCTCCCTTAAATCAGGGCCAATACAGTCCAATTAGCTAGGGCTGATTTGGTCCCAGGGCTGAAATGGGCCCTACCGTGGGCTGGAATAGCCTTTTGATAGAGCTTTTTTGGCCTAAATTGTGCTCAAATGGCTCCAAGAAGGGCTGAATCAGACTTTGGCCTGCAGGGCTGAATTGACACTTTGGGGCTGAAACAGATCTTTTTAATTTACAGTGTGTTCATGGTATCAATATCCTTTAAGTCCCTACAAGTCCTCTTAACCAACCCTAAAACCCTATTAGCCTTAGCAGTTATTTTATCTACGTGTTGGTTCCATGAAAGATTACTAGTAGTAAATAATCCTAAATCTTTATACACATCAACACTTTCCAAAGGTTGACCTTCAATATTATACTCCCCAACTAATGGTGACTTTTTCCTGGTTATTCGCATGATCTTACATTTCTTGGTATTAATTCTCATCTTATTCATCTTACACCAATCTGAAATTTTGTCTATGTCACTTTGAAAAGTAGACAGATCTTCTTGAGTACTAATAACTCTATACATTTTACTGTCATCAGCATACAGAGCAATTGAGCTGTCCTTACTAATTACCCCCGGTAAATCGTTGATGTAGACTATGAAGAATAATGGTCCCAGCAAAGAACCTTGTGGGACACCAGAGGTTACGGTTAACCAGTCAGAAGTCTCTCCTTTCACTACAACACGCTGTTGACGTTCTGTTAAATAATCTCTACACCAATTTAGCAAGTCTCCATGGACACCATATTTGTAAAGTTTGGTTAATAGAATATTATGACAGACAAGGTCAAAAGCCTTTGAAAAGTATATAAATACTACATCAACTTGACCTCTCTAGTCCAAGACTTTGAACCAATCATGATGTACTAAGAGTAGTTGAGTAGTGCAGGAACGACCAGTGAGGAACCCGTGATGAGAATCATGTATGAATCCAATAACTTGATCATAAATAGCATTGTATATTAGAATATTAGAATATTAGAATGATACGAGATTTGGACTGGCCCCTATTTATGAAAATTTTTCTTTTGAATTATCCATTATAGAATTACGCTAAAATTAATAGAAGCCTACAGAGACACGAATAAAGAACGATGGCCAGTCGATATTTTTTGTGGCTTTGTGAACAAATGCATGGAAACCTTTTCATCATGGAACATTCCAGAAAACCTTTATATGCTATATATTCCGTTGTATGTGAATTTTGTAAATGAAGTATAAGAAGTTGATTTCTTTGTTTTAGACATGTTCTCAACCTTTTGAAACTTGTCCCTGATGTTTCTTGGTCACCTTCATTCACTGCATGGTTTCTTACTTTTATTTAGAACTTCCTGTGAAAAGATAGAAATGTGCTAGTAAAGAGTTGAATTGACCCGCAAGCCCGGTTGTTTCATGGTTATCAATGTAGATTGTATTTTTATTTTCTAGACGTGTTGCGAATGATGTTAAACGTTGGAAAAAACAAATGTATTGCCCTTTTAGTAATTGGTTGGCTTTTCCCGATTGCGGTCATTGTGATCGCATTTTCAAATGGCATTTAACAATGGATGGGTTAAGAATAGCATGGAAAGGTCAACAAATTAATGTTCAGAAAGAACGTTCTTGTATAGTTAAAATGTATTGTAGATCAGCTAGTTTTTTAGTAGAACACAATTAATGAAAGTGACGTTAATCTTTTATCATTTCTAGAAAACCCCTGTTTGAATTGAAATTGCTTCCTTGCTGTTCTTTTACAAAGTGGGCTTATAGCTACGTGAAATGTCACTGCGATTGCAGATTAGGGGTTTTTAACCTTCTCATAGACGACTGGCTTAAATTTTAAAGCTATGATAATGATTTTGACCCTATTGAAGCCAATAGGCAATTTATTAGAGTGTACAGTGCTATTCCTGATAGAGATGTTTTATTTCAAAACCCTGACGAGTATCCCGAAGAATTACTTGAACGGTTAAACAGGAGGTTTCCCGAAGTGCATTAAAATTGTAAAACGCTGCTGTTTTTATATATTTCCAGAATTACCTTAGAAGAATTTAAAGACGGAGACTTTTGCGATTATACACAATGGATAAACACAACAGATGATGAGTTATGGGCTCATTGCATTCGAATTATCAGTTTTTTTTTTAAGACTTTGTATTGATGAAATGACTGATCTTGAATATTGGAAATATATGACTGCAACAGCGTTCGAAAGACACCGTCTTCGTGAAAAATGTGTAGCCATGTATAGTGTACTGTTTGAAGAATATTTTGTAATGGGCGGGCCACTGTAGGTGACCCATACGTCCCGCGTTGTAAGTTAAGATAATTAATAAAAGGAATGGCACGGTAAATTAACAGTGAAAAGTTATTGACTTGGGAAAAGGGCAAACAGCATGAAAATAAATGTTGTCGGAAAAAAAAACATGAAAATAATTGTTGTTGGGTATTGAGAAACGTGCAGTCTATCATAAATAAAAATCCAAGGGCAAACGCGGTGACCTTCTGTTACCTACTGACCTAGGAAAAACGTGCACTCTGTCACGAATGCAAAATCCAGGGATTACTATGAAAACAATACCAAGATGGCGAATTAATGGTCTGAATAGAATCCAAGATGGCGAAGTAATTACTATAAAACAATAGTAAGAGGGTGTAAGTCAAAGATAGAAGGAAACGAAACGTGACTTGAAGTAAGAGATAGTGTAGAAAAACGTGGGAAATCGAAAACGTGCAACTTTACACGTTCAATAAAGTCTTTAGGGAAAAACAAATGCGTCATACAACGTGCATAGCTCAGCGAAATAAACTGAAATGTACGTCAATGACCTACGCTTGATTAAGTTTGTATGCAAATTCTGCTCAAAGGTCGAGGCTCGTGGCGGCATAAATTTGGCGCAGTGAGCATCACTGTTCATTCAGCGCAAACCATTTGCGAGTGATTATCGGTCACACGAACAAGAATGGAAAACGATCATGAAGCCATTGACAGTCAAATTGAAGGTAAGTTATCGTTGTAAACAAGAGGTTTTGTGTTTGCAATTAGTAGCGAACAGAGATTGAGTAAAGTTTGTTTGCTTTTCTTCAGCGATTCTGAACGAAAGGAATGAAGACTTGACTACAGTGGACAGTGAAATTGAAGGTGAGAGAGTTGTATTTGACTAAGAAGGAATGATAAGAGCGTTTGTGAGAAATAAAGTTAATTGCATGTAACTGAAAGAGATTCGTAGAGGAACTAAATAGAACGTAAAATAAATGAAACGAAAATAGAAGTAAACTGAAGTAAATGGAAAAAGCCGAATGTAGCCGAATTAAGCCGAAGACCTCGAAAATAGCCGAATGTAGCCGAATTAAGCCGAAGGTAGCGAAAATAGCCGAAGTAGCCCAAAAGCCTAGGAAATAACCGAATGTAGCCGAATTAAGCCGAAGTTCTAGGAAATAGCCGAATGTAGCCGAATTAAACCGAATGAAGCCGAATGTAGCCGAAGACCTCGGAAATAGCCGAATGTAGCCGAATTAAGCCGAAGTTCTAGGAAATAGCCGAATGTAGCCGAATTAAGCCGAAGGTAGCGAAAATAGCCCAAGTAGCCCGAAGGCCTAGGTAATAACCGAATGTAGCCGAATTAAACCGAATGTAGCCGAATTAAACCCAATGAAGCCGAATGTAGCTGAAGACCTCGGAAATAGCCGAATGTAGTCCAATTAAGCCAAAGTTCTAGGAAATAGCCGAATGTAGCTGAATTAAGCCGAAGGTAGCGAAAATAGCCGAAGTAGCCCGAAGGCCTAGGAAATAACCGAATGTAGCCGAATTAAACCGAATGTAGCCGAATTAAGCCGAAGTTCTAGGAAATAGCCGAATGTAGCCGAATTAAACCGAATGAAGCCGAATGTAGCCGAAGACCTCGGAAATAGCCGAATTAAGCCAAAGTTCTAGGAAACCAAAAATAACTAAAACGAGATAGAGTAAGCGAAAAACATTAATAGGTAGTGTCGTTTTCTATCTTTTTATAGACCTTCTTGAGGAGGATAATGATATTCTGGTAGCGGCAGCTCGCAGATATGACCAGCGGGGAGGGAATCCCATCTTTCGTGCCATATTTACAGCAGCGGGAAGAAATCGTTCGTTTCGTGGGGTGGTTCACCAAAAGAAATACCGGCTCACCTTTCTCCAACTGCGAACACCCAACGAAAATGAACCTCTTGGGGAAGCATTAACGGAAGCCATACGACAGGGGTTAGAGCAAGTGGTTGAGGCGGAAAACCTAAACCCAGCTCAGTATTCACTCCTTCTAGCCATTCATTCTAATTCCTTTGCAAACAGCTGGGTACAGTCTGCACGCCATGTTCCTTTAAATGAGTGGCTTCACAATCAAGAGCATGCACGCAGCTATTTAGAGCAGTTAGCCCACAAATTAAATTCATCTCAAGTCGTGGATCCTGAGAGGGATGGGTTTTTTGTAGAATTGACGTTCTTGAAAACGTTTGGGCGTGGAGGAAAAAATGGAGGAAAACGTGAAAACCCTGGAAAACTGGCATGGGAGAAAATGGCGAAAAAGAAAAAAAATGTGTGATACAAATCAAAAACAAAGACGACCTCTGTTTAGCAAGAGCCATAGTCACGATGAAAGAAAGAGCAGATGAGGGGTTCCATTACCATAATCTGAGACAAGGAAAACCCATTCATGAACGGTGGGCGCGTCTTCTGCATCAAGAAGCAGGTGTTTCCGAAGGCCCCTGTGGTTATGAGGAATTAGAAAAATTCCAAGTTTATCTCGGACCACAAGGGTACAAATTCATCGTGGTAGAATCTAGCAAATGTTTAGTGGTCTTCAAGGACCCCACCTATAATGAAGCACCTCATGTGATTGGTCTCGTCAAGTATAATGGACACTATGACGGGCTTTCAAGTATTCCTGCCCTCATGAACAGATCCTATTATTGCCTCCATTGTGATAGAGGCTATGATAGAGAAGAGGCGCCTCACCATAACTGCGAAGGCCCAAATTGCTCTGCCTGTTGCCGTCAAAATAAAACCTGTCCAAACTTTGCTATCCGGGTGAAACCTACCATCCACTGTCCGGATTGCAATTGTATGTTTTATGGGCAAGATTGTTTTCAAGCGCATAAAACCAAAGGAAAGAAAAAAGGAGACGAGAGTATTTGTGACAGATGGAAGAAATACCCCCTCTGCTGCGCTATATATCCTGTCAACCCCAAAAACCTCACAAATGTTACCATGTGACCTGTAGAAACTGTGGAGAATTTACGCATGTCGCTCACCGTTGCTACATTCAGCCCATTTACGATGACCCTCCACAGCCAGAATAGGACACCTTTGAGGACCCTATGCAGTTTCAATTTGATGATGATGAGGATGACGATGATAAGAAAGGCCCCCCACCCCCTCCCCTCCTGAATTTTGCGGATATTGAATGTGCACTCTCTGAAGATCGTGTTTTTCAACCGAACCCAATCTGCTGGTCTAGTGAAAAGGATGAAGAGATTACTCATGCGAGAACCATTGACGAATTTTTAGAAGCCTGTAAGGCAATGACAGAAGTTGAAGACAATGAACGACCCAGAAAAGTCATCACCTTTTTTCATAATCTCAGAGGCTTTGATGGGAACTTTATTCTGGAAGCACTCTATTATCAAGGCCGTGCTGTAGAGAATCCCTTAACCCAGGGGGCCAAAATTTTGTATTTTGAAAGCGGTGACCTTATTTTTAAAGATTGCCTCAATTTCTTCGCCATGCCCTTGGAACGATTTCCCGCTACATTTAATCTCACAGAGCTTCTCAAGGGGTACTTCCCGCATGCCTTCAATCGCGCAGAAAATTTTAATTATGCAGGAAATTACCCACTCATGTCTGAATAGGATCCAGACAGTATGGACAGCAAGAAAAGAGAAAAGTTTATGACGTGGTACAGGCAGAAAGTCGCCGAGAATGCAGTGTTTGATTTTCAAGAAGAGCTCTTAAAATATTGCGACAGCGATGTCAAGCTACTCAAGGAAGGTTGCCTTAAATTCGTGAGAGAATTTAAAGGGATCGCAGGCTTTAACCCCCTGATTCAATCCGTGACGATCGCCTCAGCGTGCAACTACTTCCGGCGCGAGGAAAAACTGGAAGAAGACCTCATTGCCCTCGAACCTCTAGGGGGATGGCATGGAAATCACATTAACCAAAGTACCATCGCTCTGGAATGGCTATACTTCCAGGACCACCAGAGAGGAGGGATGGGGCGTGTCTGTCACGTGCGTAACGGAGCAGAAATTCAGGTCCTTACACCCTCAGAAAGCTATTATGTAGACGGGTTTGATGAAGAAACCAACACCGTCTTTGAGTTTTATGGATGCTGGTACCATGGCTGCCCCCAGTGTGTCAAACGCCTCAGAGATGTACGGAGCAACTGTCATTCAGATCGAACCGTCCAAGAAGTCTACGATGCTACCCTGAAAAAAGCCGCCATGCTACGCCAAGCAGGGTATGCAGTGGTGGAAAAGTGGGAAAGTGATTTCAAAAAAGAAAAGAAAACCAACCCAGAGTTACAAGCCTTTCTCCAAGAGTTGGAAATGGTGTCTCCCCTCAATCCACGTGATGCCTTCTATGGAGGAAGGACGGGTGCTGTGGCGTTACATTGTAAAGTAGAAGACCCCGATCTCATTAAATATGCAGATGTGACGTCACTGTACCCATGGGTCAACAAGTACATGGAGTACCCTGTCAGATTCCCTCTCACCTATACGAATCCAAGGGATCAAGACATCAACCATTATTTTGGTGTCGCCAAAGTCGACATCTTGGCGCCCGAGTGTTTGTTACACCCTGTTCTCCCCTTCAGAGCTGGTGGCAAGCTGACGTTCCCTCTCTGTGCTGCTTGTGTCAAAGAAGAGCAAGACAAACCATGGTTAGAACGCACCAATATCTGTTCTCACAGTGATCAAGAGAGAACACTAAGAGGAACCTGGGCCACCATTGAACTTCAGAAAGCTGTCGAGTTAGGGTATCGCCTTCTCAAAATTCATGAAGTGTTTCATTTCCGCGAAAAGGATCGAAAGGTGGGGCTCTTTGCGGATTATGTCAACACTTGGCTTAAAATTAAGGAAGAATCGGCGGGATGGCCTGACGAGTTTACCACCCGAGAAGAGAAGGAAGCTTACATTCAAGCCTACCAAGACAAGGGGGGGATTAAGTTGGAACATGTCGCTAAAAATCCGGGCAGGAAACAAGAGGCGAAAATGATGCTGAACAGGTAATGAATGGTTAAAAATACTGCACATAACCACATTAAAGAGCAGACAAAGTCTGCACATAACAAACACCCTTTGGAAGAAAACAATAGGCCACCGTGGGAAGTAAAATTAGAAGAAAATGTATGGACATGTTGCAGACAAAGTCTGCCTATTAACAACCTAAAATGCAGACAAAGTCTGCAAGCTAAGAGCCCCCATTGATTTGTTTTGTTGTTTTTCTCTTTGTCTCTCCCTTTTTCTAGCTTCTGGGGCAAATTTGGTGAACGAAGCAGCAAGCCACAGACTCATGTCATCAGAAGTGCCCATGCCCTCTATGCTCTGCTGAATGACCCCTCCTTCCATATCAGTAACATCCGAATCTGCTCAGAGGATGTGTTAGAGGTCGTCACCACAAGGGCAGAAGAAGAAGTATAACAAAATATGAAAACAAATATATTTATAGCCATTTTCACGACCGCCCATGCTAGGCTTAAACTTTACTCAGCCTTAGAAAGGCTTCAGGAACGTGTCCTTTATTATGACACGGATTCTGTGATCTACAAATGGCGCCCCGGGCAGTCAGAAATTCCCCTAGGGGTTTTTTTTGGGAGAATGAACAGACGAAGTATAAGGGGATCCCATCATAGAATTTGTCAGTGGGGGAGCTAAAAATTATGGTTATCTCACAAGAGGAGGGAAAGTCGATTGTAAAGTAAGAGGGTTTTCTCTCAACTACCGAAATAAGTTGCTGTTGAATTTTTATGCTTTACGTGAAAACATTTTAAAAGAGTTGGTTGATCCTCAAGAGGAAAGGAGAACCATCACGTTGGTGGATAAGAATTTCTTTGATCGGGACCAAACCAACAAACGAATTCGTTTGATTGAAAGGGAGAGAAAATATGGGCTCGTGTTCGATAAACGAGTGGTGGACAGGGCCACTCGAAAGTCCTATCCGTATGGATACATTCGTATTCGAGACGAAGTGGACATGCTATTGGAGTTGTAAATAGGTTGAAGCATTGTACATAGGAATAGGTCAGCATGGTGGCGCCATTTTAAAAGTGTTGTAACATTAAATCGACAGGGAGGTTTAATGTAGAAATAAATGTAAGTCAAGAATAAAAAACTTTGTGTGTTTGGTCTCTGGGTATAAATAGAGGGTGGGCACCCCAGATCCTCCATTCCCATCGTGTCACCATGTCCAATGTTTACTTAACCCTCCTGAGTGATGTCACCAGTGACTATGCCAATAATGAAGCCAATCATTTTAAAGTCAAACTCAACCCCAGTTTGAATTACCAGGATCAGGATGGAAAGTCGCCATTGCCCATGCTCTGTTACCGAAAATGGCCCTATTGAAAGACTTGCAAAGTCAAAGTGTCAATTTGATAGAACTGTGGTATGAGGCAGAAAAACCAGGCCAATCCGAGGTGTGGAAAAAAGACTATTTGAGTCCGGCCGAATTACGTCAGTGGGAGAAAGCAGGCGCATGTCACGATGCGGTGGATTTTTTCAATTCTCTCAAACCCTGGTCAACTTTCAGTCCGACAGTCAATGTGCTGTCAAGTTACATTTTAGACAAGGTTAACACGAGACAGAGACATTGTGTGCACACTCTTTGTTTATTGAAATAAAAAAACACACGCAGATTATAATTTGAGTTTTCTCTTGGCTTGCATGATTTTCTTGACGACTTTCTCAGTCATGGTCTTTTTCCCGGGTAAACGATCAATGGCTTTGATCATGACGTCATCTGCTTTCCATTTATCTTGCAAATTCTTGGCTTTGCTATATGCAATGTCATGATGTAAAGCAATGCGGTCCAATCTGTTTTTCGGCTTGTCTCCGCATTTCAAACGTTTGGCTAGTTTGGTCCAGGGCCAGCAAATCGGTACGAGGGAATATGAAACTCAATGCCTGTTTTTTCAATCGCTTTTTGAAAATCTAGTTTTCCTCCTCTCTGTCGTTTTCTAAGGGGTCGTTTCCGTTTACCAGTCTTTGCCATCGAGTTTCTTTTTCGTGGCGTTCCAAACGGTTTCCAACCAGCGGTGGTTTCTAGTTTTTTCAACACTCCTTTTTTGGCCGCTTGTACCGCTGCTTTATAGAGTGAAGTCCCGTGTTGTTTACGATGCGCTCTCGTAATACGTTTGGTTGCGGAGGCTGCTTTTTCAACCGGGGTATCCCAAGGTTCAGCTGCTGTAGGCAGTAACAAAGGGTAATGAAGCAGAGGCAGAACTTTTTGATTTTGGAGGAGTCTTGCAGAATTGAGAGAATGTCCAAGGACTTCTCTTTACCGACCCTTTAATTAGCAGAAAGTGGGATTTTGTGCGGTGTCTTGGGTAACAAACGCTTTCCTTTCACTGGACGAAAAAATGGATTTACTAGGGTAGCCAAATTACAGCAAATATGTAGCAAATACCACATTTGCACAATTTTGCCCAAGAGCAAAGACTGATATTGCACTAGATTTGCTATCCGTAGCAATGACGGTAAATGCCACATTTGCACAACATTTACTTCTTGGTGCAAAGATAATGGGCAGCCATGGATTTGAGGGTCATTTGCAGATGGTTCAAATGTGTCGGCAAATATGTTTCTTTGAACTATATTTGCACATTACGCAAATGATAGCGCAAATCTGCTGTTTTGCACAGCTTTTGCTTTAGATGTAAAAGCATGCAAACCTGTTATTTTCCGAACGTTTACGCGGCTTTGCAAATGTGAGCGAAGTATCTAATTTGAACAATGTTTGCTTGGGTTATTATGGGTGATCAAATTTTCATAATTGAACCAGATTGCTTTGCATAGCAAATGTAACCAAACTCTTTGTATTAAACGTGTTTGCTCACGAAGCAAATGTTAGCAAACCTAAACTTTGAACAAATTTTCTAGGGTGTGCAAATTTGATCAAAGACAAAATTTTGCTTGTAGCGGCAAATGTGGTCAAAAGTCAAGTTTTGAACAAAGTTGCCTGGGCAGCAAATCTGATCAAACTGTTACTATTGTACAATTTTTCGCTCAGGTAGCAATGTAATCAAATTCTGACTTTAATTTGGTTAGCAAATGTCATCAAACCCATAAAATTGAGCATGTTTTCTGAAGTAGCAAATGTAAATTCCAAGGTTTAAACAAGTTTGCTTGGGTTGTAGCCAATGCGATAAAATTTTAAAATTATTTTTAATTATAACATGGCTCACTTCAGGTTCTTAACAAGTGGCCATAATTAGTCTTGAAGTTTATAGCTTCAAACATTAAAGTTACTGAAAGAAATTCTAGCAGTGACCTCCCATTAATGTTCAAATGATTTATTCCATAAACCAAAGTGGCTTACACATTATTACAGACATTACGAACTACAGTATACAGCTGTACATACAGCTCTTCACACTAATTCCTAATTTTACGGTTCGTTGATGTTTACTTGTCTCCACTCTAGGCTCTATCAGATCATTACTAACTATTAATATTATAAGAAAAGTGTTCTACATCTAAATGTGTAAGATATTCTACATACAGCTGTAGGTGTTTCAGAGTTGCCTCAAACCTATTTCAGTTGTTTAGGTTTTTGCAACTCAGAAACAGGTTAAAAATCCCTTTACCCTTGGACAAATATTTACTTATGACAAGACTTTTTCTTACTTAAACTTTTGTATCTAAGGACAAAATCTTGTTCCAACTAAATGGAACCCTCTAGACACCCATTTTAATAAATAATTAGTATTTTTGTATTTATTGCTATTTACAGATTAAACAAAATTTGATTCTGGAGGCATTTTTTTCTTTCGGCTCTATTAGAATGAAAGGCCTACTTCTTGCTACCAATTTACAATTTTTGCTCGTATAACAACTGGGTTATAGCATTTAGCAAACTAAGAAATAGTTTAGGTACATGTAGCTATTCAAATTCAGATCAGACTTCTTTAACTTCATTTTTGTTGCTAATGGTTCCTGGATATAGTATTGGATATGCTCTTAGAGGAAGTACCAGCCGGAGCTTCTAGTACTTGCCCTGTTCTAAGAAAATTGAGGGTCACTAAAGTAATGACCAGCTGTAAGTATTCCACAGCATGTCAACATTACCATTGTCACTGTAGTTGGTCCCAATGAAAGAACTAATAATTATTTTAAACTCAGTATACATGTACATGAAGTACAAAAGGTTGATCTGGCTAACCTGCAAAATAACTACACTGCTGTCTCTCATTACTTTTTTTCTTGAGTCATGTTGCAATCGTTTGCAAAATTCCATTCTAAATCATGACAAAAAGCAGGGTGTACCTAAATTTGTTTTGTTTTTTGTTCAAGCAGGTCAGTTGCAATTGCTGTAATCGGTACACATGTACTGTGAAGTGGTGCCAGCAGAACTCAAATGCCTGCAGTTAAGCAAATAGATTTTAAAGAAACATTTGTACATTAATTGGCCTTTTTAACCTGCTGACTGGTACATTACTTGCAAACAATAGTCAAAGGATTCTAATGAAAAATTTATCACATAAACTAATTTGGTCTACCTGCCACCAGAATTCTCAGGACAAATCAACACCATCAGGATTTGTACTGTTTACACAGTTTTATCTTTTTCTAAAAAACAGTGTCATAAACAGAGAGTGATTAAAGGATTACTGTATTTGCAGAGCTACATTTAGATGTACCTGTAAGTATGACCAGTCATAAATAATCTGGAATTTCTTTAAGAGCCTTGGATTAACTTATATTTCCTTATCACAAAGCAAATTCAGGAGCATTATCTGGTGCCTCCTGCTCTGAGGAGAAGCCATTCCTCCTTTCTATTGCCATTGAGTAATGACAAGCTTACATTATTATTATTATTATTATGTGACTGTTTTAATTTTGCTTTACTGTTCAGCTTGGCAAAGAGGTTTTTACAGGCTAAGTTGTTGACTCCTCCATGCTAGAAGCCTCCTGCAAAGCACTTTTCTCGGATTTGTCATCTCCTTGGTCTGTATTGCCTTGCTCTGAAGACATGTACTCCACATTTATACAAGCTTTGAACTTACAACAATCCTTCTTCGAAATAGAGGTTGACTGCAAAAGGGTTGTCTCTTTAGCTTTTTCTGCAACAAACAGAAATTATACATAATTGAGACCATTAATATTGCAACTAAAGCTGTAGATGGTTGTCATGAAAAATACTGTTGTCCTTTTCTGTCTAAACATTCTAGCCTTTTATAGCATAAAGGTTGCTATTACATATTACATGTATTATTACTGGCTGCAGTCACACTAGGTGACTAAACGTACTTATTTCCTGAGTTAACGGATATCAAAATTAACTAGTTTAAACAAATTGCTGGCTTGTAACTTTCATGTCTCAAATCTAACCCCAAGCGGTCATCATAATCCTGATTACACTGTACCTGTTAAAACTAAGACCTTCTTTGAGCAAAAACATAACGAAAAATGAATGCGAGAAACCCTTTTGTAACAAGACAATTGACTCCAGGTAAATCATTGTATTAATTTTATAGTGAGTGTCCCACTACATCACTACCATAACAACATTATTGACTGACATATTACTTAAAACTTCATGGACCTGCTTCTTCTGCAATATTGCCATCACTTACAGTGTATCTTGGGAACAAAAGTTTAATTATACTATAATTGCCTCATATGAGGGAATCCAAGACAGTTTTAGATTCTGGATTCCAAGCTGCAGATTCCGGAACCTTTTTCAGTGGATTACTTGGTTTCTGGATTCCAATCATTTGACCTGTATTTCAGGTTTCAAAGCTCAGAATTTAGGATTCCGCAACAAAAATTGCCCGAATTCTGGATTCCATAAGCAAAAATTTCCCGAATCCCAGAATCCCTTACATGGGGTGATCATAAAAAACAATCAGTGAAAGCAGGGTACCATGATCTAAATTCTAGCTACTCTATGTTTTCAGCACCATGGCAGTCACTGCCTTTACTCCCCTTTCAAATTTTTGAAAAGCCTTTGGAGAAAGTAGGCACTAAGGATAAGGTTAATTTTGGCCGAATAGAGGGAATTAACACTTGCTTCAATTCTTATTAAATTTTCCAAGACCATTTATCTGAAGAGAACAACCAAACAAAAGATTACAGTATTTTTTACAACAACAGGACAAATAAAGTTTCAGGATTAGGGGTGAGTCCTTGTTGATTACTGAATATTTGGAATGCAAATGTAGGTATTATCAAATAGCATCATTAATGGCTTAACAGTAACAATGAACTTTCTTATACTTACTGAGCATTTCTCCCGATTAGTTGCTCCCTCAGCATTTGTTTGTCCTTGCATTTCTCCTGCCTCTTCTTAGTTTTACAATCTGCTAACAGCAACGATTCACCGAAGTCTATGTACTAAGTACTTACGGCTGCTTTTCTTGGATCCACTCGTTACTACTTGATCGTCGCCGATGGAGCTTATCTAGATGTCTTTCATGGTGGATAAGTGCAATTTCCTTTTCGTCGAATGGTCTATACGTATGCAGTTTCCTCGAGTTCGAGCGATTATTTTTATAAGTTCTTCGAGGACACATTCGTTCGATAAATTCGAACAAATATGACTAGGTGATTCCTCCATACTCGACAGTCAACAAAGAAGGAAAATTCGAAACCTCTTGATAAATATGGCGTTAAACGTATGAAGTAAAAGCTGATGGCAAATCGATGGCAATGGAACGTGGTAACGGTCGACGAAATTTGGGCGCAATTTCAATTGTTGTGCCTCGTTCTCGAACGGTTATGCAGACTGTCGCTGACCAGCACCACTGAGGCGCAAATGCTTGGGAAATCGGGCGCGCGGTCTTTTGGCGATTTGGCGGGAGGAAGAGATTGCCTATGTTGCTGGATTTTTTCTTAAGGATATTCGAAATTTAAAAGGTAAAGTCGATGTATTTTGCTTTGTATATCGTGCTTCTACTGCCACATCTATGTTATAACCGGGAATAAACTACATTTGCATCCATATTTACATTTGTAGCATTTATGTGCACGCGTGTCGCGTGCGTATGGTAGTGATCCAGCTGAAAAAGGCCTTGTTGAAAAATTTAAGTGGTGTTAAGTCAGCAAAATATGTAGTTATGCAATGTTAAAATGCTAATTTATTGGTATTTGTCAGAAGTAGCTCAGATTAAGGTGGCTCCGTAATTTATACTAGAGCATTTTGCTCTGACAAATTAATTTTCCGTCATAACATTTTTGGTTTTTAACGGGATGGCTGCGACACTTTGCAAACAGAAACAGATATCATTCGGCAATAATACGAAATATTCCGATTTCATTGATGGTAAATATTTCTTGAGAAATTAGCGCTTAAAAGGACCCTACTGTTCAAAGAAAATCGCGTCTAGTAAAAAATTTTGCTGATATTTTTTACTGAAATTTCTGGTATCGGCTTTCTTTGATATAATAAATATGCCAGAGGAATTTCAGAAAATCGTTGGAGCAGAAGTCCTTAACTAAAAGTCGCTCAAAATTCAGCTGTGAAATTGTTTTGGAATTTCAAAAATAAATTACTATCAGGGAGAAGGAGCCACCAGTTTGAATTTTCGGGACAAGTAAATTCAACGTTTGCTAATTCTTAAAACAAAAGCCGATTGCCTATCGTGCTATTCTTTAAAAGGTACTTTTCAGTTTTAGAAGCACTATAAATTGCTCCAAACCTTGCTCTGAAGTAGAATGAGTTGTTCTTCGACAGTTTTAAAATATCCCTTGACAGTTTTGGCTCAAACTCCTGCTGCATACATTTTGATGTATTGCAATGCATTTTCAACGACTTTTACTGCTGTTCGTTGCTTCCAACTCAGGAAAAAAGTATTGAGATTGGACGCTACCTCGTATCAGAGTTCAGATAGAACTCTCCAGCACCTTTGTTTATGACTAAAAAATGAGCACGAGCGGCAGTTCTGCGAGAAATTCGCACCTCACCCAGGGGGGACGAACGACAATGATGACCATGCCTGTGAACCGAATAACATCACAGTGCAAAATAAAATTATCGCAAAAATACTGCCCGTGAATAAATTTACAACTCTAAAATTTTTGTCACTCCTTCCTTCAATGAATGGGTATTTTTTCTTGATTATTATGTTTTGCTCTGCAATGCATGTTTATACAGATCGGTTCACAGACATGGGCATCATTGTCATTCGTCCCTCCTGGCTGAGGTGCGAATTCCTCGCAGGGCTGCCGCTCGTGCTCATTTTATGGTCATAAACAAAGGTGCTGGACAGTTCTATCTGGGATTCGATACAAGGTAGCTTACAATCCCAATACCCTTTTCCTGAATTGGAAACAACGGACAGCAGGAAAAGCCGTTGAGGATGCATTGCAATACATCAAAATGTATGTAGCAGGAGTTTGAACCAAAACTGCTAAGGGATATTTTAAAAATGTCGAGGAACAAGTCATTCGACGTCAAAGCAAAGTTTGGAGCAATTTATAGTGCTTCTAAAACTGAAAAGTACCTTTTAAAGAATAGCACGATAGGCAATCGGCTTCTGTTTCCAGAATTAGCAATCACTGAATTTACTTGTCCCGAAAATTCAAACTGGTGTCTCCTTCTTCCTGATAGTAGTTTATTTTTGAAATTCCAAAACAATTTCACTACTGAATTTTGAGCGACTTTTAGTTACGGACTTCTGCTCCAACGATTTTTCTGAAATTCCTCTGGCATATTTATTATATCAATTAAAGTCGATACCAGAAATTTCAGTAAAAAATATCAGCAAAATTTTTTACTAGACGCGATTTTCTTTGAACAGTAGGGTCCTTTTAAGCGCTAATTTCTCAAGAAATATTTACCATCAATGAAATCGGAATATTTCGTTTTATTGCGGAATGATATCTGTTGTTTTTTGTAAAGTTTCGCAGCCATTGCGGTAAAATCGAAAAAGTTATGACGGAAAATTTGTCACAGCTAAATGCTCTTGTATCAATTACGGAGCCACCTTAATTGCTTGAGTAATTTATACTACCTCTGGCGCTATACTGACATATTGAGCGTGATACATGTACATGTACCATTGATTGTGACAGGGGTAGGGTGGAACCTTAATTGTAAATGCGTTACTGTCATTTTTTTTCTGTTTTGTTTTGTCATGTTTTCATATACAAGGTTGTTTTGTTAATAATAGTTTATAATGATACAGCTGTACATGTAAGCTGAGTCCAAAGGTCAAAATGCTAAAATGTGCCACATGTGTATTTATAATGTTCATAAAGATAATGGCAACGCAAGTAACACAATTCATTTAATTTCACAATATTATCAATAAAGGTAGAATTACCAGTTATTTTTAGTGGGTTTAGTGACTTTTTTGTACATTTGTTTCAGATTTTTCCTTGAGTGGTACAGGAGTTATTTCCAAAGTTCTTAAAATTGAGTTGCATCACCTGAACTCTCCAAAAGATAAAGAGGTTAATGAAATACAGGTTCAACATGGGGAAGCTGTTTGTGGTCTGTGCGTGAAGAAATGCTACAGGGGTATTCCAGTGGGTCTCAATTTATTTACAGTAATCATTTTTTCCTCTTCAAGATAACAGAAGTGAAGCTTATATACTGAATGCTCCCATCCATGAATACCCCATCTGTTTGGGGTAAATGTCACAAAAAAGAAACCTCACATGTACTTCCTTAATTGTGTTATATATTTACCATCTTTACAATATTATTTTTCTTGTACTTTGTGCCGTGCCCTGCTAAGTAAATCCATATCCCTTTCACAGTGTTCTGCGGGGAACATAATGTACTGAAATTGTGTGAAGCTATAGAACATTAATTTGCACTCATAGAGGTTTCCCCACAGAGATATAAAGAGTGACAACATTATTCTTACAGAGGTAAACAATATGTACCACCCAATGCTCATTGATTTTGGAAAGGCTATCTTGCTATCGGATGCCCCTTCAAAACAGCAGTCCATGACTGCTCACTAGCACTGACATATATCTTCAGAAATATGCCTCAGATATTATGTTTTCACTTGGCGTTAGTAAGTCATGGCAAAAGTTAGTGGCAAAGTGAAAGTAGAAAGGCATTTTGTGGAAGGGCAAAGAAAACGCCTTCAGACAGATCCAAAGTTGAGATTTACTATTTCATGTCTTCTGTCACTGCTCAAAACAAATTTTTAGCTGGAACATTTTTTGTCCAGCAATTATAAAATATCATATTCCTATTTAAACACGGAAATCAAAAAGTTATCGTACTCAGTGTGAATTCCTATACTAAATCAATCTATTAAAATTTGACTCATTTAGTGAAAAGGGTATAATAATATTGAAGGTGTAAACCCCGTTGGTCTAAGAAGTTTAGGTTGAAGTGAAAAAATGCACCATGTTAATGTTGTTGAGTGAAGGCTGATATAAATCTCACCAGTCTGTTTGAGCAGTTTAAAAAGACAAATCATATTGAACTCAAAATCAGGGTTGTAAAGAGCAGCAAAGAAATTATTCATTCATGTCTGTGCCGGCTGAGTTTCTATTCACAAATTATATGAAATACAAAGCAATTTCACCATTTGTTGTAGTATTGGCTGTTGGGCTTTCAAAATGTGGTCATTTTTAGGAGGCTCACCATCAAGATGTGGTCATCTCTAGGTATAGTCAGTGAAAACTAGAACAAATAGCGGTAAGAACAAAATTGTCAGCTTTGATGTGAAGTTTCTTGAATCAATGGCCATGAGGAAATTGTGTACAAGTGAATAATCTCAACCCTGACTTTTAAATGCACAGAACTTTTTTTTTGTTGGACCAAATTTAAGGTACTGTGGGTGGCCTTGTTATTGTTAGCTTTTTAATAATAATATTATGATGTAGAAAAAATACAGTAAATTATCTGACTACTGGACCTTTGTCCAGTAGATTTGTTGTGGTGTATTTACTTTATGTAAAGGGGAGGTAGTGTGGGCCCTCTGTAACTGTATACAACAGTTACTGTGTCATTTTGAATTTTTAGTTTTAGTAATTGGAGATCCCTGCCCATTGTGCGACCCTAGGCTTTACTATTATCAAATGACAGAAGAGGAATGCACCACATGCCCAGGTTATGTACCATTGACTCACTTCTAAGTGGTTATGTGATTTAGAATTGGACCCAAAAAAAGACCGGGGCCCAGTTGTTCCAAAGACCGATTAGCATTAACCCAGGGTTAGATTTTAACCCGGGTTTCTTTTTCCTTTTAATCAAAATTATTTTGTCAGATAATGTTCTCTTTTCTTTTTTAAGTATCAAATCGCCAAATTGTAGACAAAAGGAATTCAAATGAATTTGTTTTTAAAACTTTCTGAATTCATATTTCGTACTAACCTTGGGTTATCTTAACCCAGCTTTGAACAACCCAGCCTGGGAGGATAAATGCTGCATGTTAATTTGTTTCACCGCCTTAGTTTTTTCTTTATAGCTCTAAACATTTCATGATCTAAGGCCAACTCAGAGCTCCTGTAACCCAGTAGGGGTCTGTTCATTTTTTATGGGGGGGGGGGGACTTTGTTGGGTGGGATTTGACCGGTAGCTCCTGTATATGAAGACCCTCTCTTCATCAGAAGTTTTTTGGAGAAGCCACAACCCCACTCCTTGTATCCCAAGATCAAATAACCAGGATTCAGGTGAATTTTAGCCAGCAAAAATGCTATGACTTTTTTGGATTGAATGGGTAGTACTTAATGAACAGTAAAACTCAAAATCAACATTAAAATCAGTGAAACTCAAACTCAGGGTTGCAAACAACAGAGTAAGAAAAATTAGCCTTTCATAAATTTGTCGGCTGAGTTAATGTTCAAATAAAATTGTGAGCAGTTTCACCATATTTTGTTGTAGTATTGGCTGTTGGGCTTTCAAAATGTGGTCATTTTTAGGAAGCCCACCATAGAGATGTGGTCATCTCTAGGTGGTAGGTCAAAACTACAGCAAACTAGTCCCGTATATATAGGCCCATAATATTCTAGAATCAGTATAAATATTGTCGGAAATATAGAAAGAACCCTGCAGTATATGTGTGACAACCCTTGAAAACACAACATTTTACACCAATGTACAATGAAGTAATTTGGTTCCCTAATTCAGCTTGGAAGTGAGCATCATGTAATATTAATGAAGATGAATTCACAGCCATCCAACCACTACACAGTTCTCATTTATAGGTGTTATCTTTAGTTTAAGGACCCCTGTGGTAATTGCTGTGCATAAGGGAATACCACTTGTTAAAAGATGTACACTGTCCCATAAGTTAATAGAGGAATTTTTATGACGATAGACAGGGCCGTAGCCAGAAAAAAATAAGGACTGAGGCAATATCCATGGTTGAATTCCCCGCCTAGCTATTCAGGGTCTTTATGATGACTACGTTTAAACAAAACACTGCCAGGATCAAACCTTAAATGACTGAGGCAAGTGCCTCAGTTTGCCTCATACTGGCTACGGCCCGGGCTGTAGGAAATACAGTGCATTAATGATCTGACTACTGGACCTTAATAACCAGTAGATTTGAATTGGTGTATTTGCTTTAAATTAGAAGCCCGGGAAAGGTTTATGCCAGGGGCACTGTCAGAAAGGGATACCTTTTTCACGCTTCAGGTATGAAAGGATAGGGATTTCCCGAGTTAAAGTATATGAGAGAGTAGACTATCTGTCATTTCGTTCTGTTAAAAGACTAACAGAAGAAATTTGTGACTGTAAAATTGTCAAAAAAATTAACTGGTTTCTGATTCCTTTATATTAAAATGACAGTGCATATAAAACAGTTAACAGGAAAAATGCATGTAAGGGGTTGGTACTCTGGGCGGAGTCTCACAGCGTGTACAAAATTTTATTGTAACAATGTAATGTTACAGTTGAGATTGCAAATTTACTTTAGTCACAAAACAACTCAAACATATAGGAAATGTCATATGCACATCACCTTTGACTGTCAGCAAATGTTATGCAGTTCACTATATTTGCTCCCCTTGCAAATATGGATAATTATGATGCAAATGTGCAAATTTATGATACCGCCAAATGTCTAGAAATTTATTGTTTTTGCTCTTAAGGCAAATACGAGTAAACCACATGCAAAAGTGTTTTTTTGGTATCCTGCAAAAACAAGAGCAAACACCACTGCAAATTAGGGGTTTTGCAATATTTTTGCCTGCATTTGAAGTACGGTGAAAACTGTCATTTTTGCCAAGGATGTAAATTTGAGTAAATTGGTAGAAATGTTGAAGATTTGCCCATGCTGCAAATATGTATCAAATTTGTATCAAACCATTACATTTACTTCACTTTTGCGTATCAATACCTTTCTAGCAAATATATGCATTTGGCCACACTTTAGCCGACAGCGCAAATGCAATGCAAATTTGGAGCTCCAAATTTACCACATATTTGCACCTTTCGCAAACATTAGTAAATCCGTTTTTTCGTCCAGTGTTTCGACCCTGTTTTAAAGGAAAACTTGGGTTTTTTACTGCTTGCGGGTGTCACCGGTGACTGCTTGATAGCGGGTGTAACGGGTGTTTGCGGTACGTTAGAGACTGCTTTCCTTTTTATACCCCTCTGGATTTTAGCAATATTACCCATGAATTGTTGCATGGGGCCCACGGCTAACTTATATTCATCTTCATCCTCTTCTGAATCATCACGTCCTATAGCGCGTATACCCCCAGGCTGACGAATTTTCTTGGTCCATTGTCGTAACTGTCGATTCAGGGATTTCAAACGGGGTTCTTTCCAGGTATCGGGGGCCGGACTTTCTAGCAACAGTTCTTGTTGGGCCGCTAAACCCGCTGCTTTAGTCAGATGACTATTATCTAAGGGGTCTGATTTGTATTTATCCCTTAGCTGTAAAAATTCAACAGAGGTTTCCACGGGCGTGCTACTAATACCATCCATGGTCAGCAATGAATGACTGTGTCACAGAGAGTGGAATACTTATACTTTTTTGGTCGGACACCTCATGGGATATTTGTCTTTCATGCGTTGGTGAAGGTTTTTAAACAGGGTGACCAACGTCATCAACCCTTCTAGCACACATAGCAGTCGTTGGAACAGGACTTGTTTCATCTTAATACCGGTAGCGGGTCTTAGCACAATGATAACAACGTTTTAATTCACTCCAATCACCTGCTCCTAATTGATGAATCATGAGGTGACGTCTTCTTTTTATACTCTGACGGGGACTTGCAATCAGGCGAAGCTGTTTGCTGTAGGGTTTTAATTTGGGCACGGTTTTTCTGCCAGGACGAATCGCCCCACGCAAGGTATTCATGACTAATTCACTCACAGCATTAATTTGATCTGCATTGGCATAGCGAAGTTTTTGTTGACGTTTGTTTTGGTTGGCTTCCTTTAAGACATCTTTTAAAAAGGCCCCTTGTCGTGTCATACGTCACGTCATTGTGCTTTAGTTCTCCTTTGGGGTCTGCGTTTCCTTTTATACTTCTGTTTGGATAAGGCATGTAAAGCTTTCATGGTCCAATAATTGGCTGCAGCGCCTAGTCCTCCCATGGCTGCCGCTTTCCCTCCGGCCACTAAGGCAGGAATAGCTGCTGCTAAGAAGGGAGCTATCCTTCCTCTTTGTCTTCCCACCCCAGGTTTGCGCTTTTTAGCCAACCCATGTCGTCGTCGTCGTTTGTCATGGTCAATGAAGAACTAGCGAATGGAACCCCTTTTTATATCCTCGTCAAACGTATGGACCTGAGGCTTGCCTTCTCGTTTGGTTAAATGACTCCATACGCGAAAACGATCATAGGACGCGGGGTGTAAATCCAACATGAAATACCCAAAGGGGCGAGCCGTCAGTCTCAAAAATAACTTGAGCACTCGTCGCCATTTGTCTGGGTACACTTGCAGTAACAAGTTACGGATGCCCGTCTTGTCCCGAGGACTTTTGAAACAAATAGCATAATGCGCGTTGCGGTTGATGGTTTTGGCATATTTGCCGGGAGGAAAGAGATCTTGGGTTAGATACAAGGTGGTAATACCACCATCATGGGAATCTTTGGTAAATAAATCCAGCACGCGTTTATCATTGCCAGATTCCTCCATCAGATCATCGAGAATGAGAATCCCATGACGGTGAGGTTTAAACCATTTGACTAACGCCCCTTCAGGAGGAAGACCTTTGTAAAAAATGACCTTGGATTGTTTTTTCATGCGATCAAAGCGAGGTTGCCATCGATCGTAACAGTAGACCATTTTTTTAGGAGAGGGATAAAACAGTTTTTCTCTTTCAAGAGGTTTTCGACCTATTCACTCTTGCCACTACCGGAAGGTCCGGCAATAATCACACTAGCAGGTTGACGAATCATGTTTCCCACGGTTTACGAAAATGAGTGTAATGACCAGTTGCTCCCACTGCACCCATACGTTTATATCCTTTGTCCTTGCCTAATTTATACCCAATTTTGGCGGCTGTGGATAAGACCGTGCCAAGTCCTTTGCCTCTCTGATAATGACGGACGTTGTCTTTTATACCTTTGAAAGCTTGCTTGGCTAAAAAGGCACCCATTTTAGCAAAACTGGGAGAGGGTCTTGATAAGCCCATGGCCACGCCTTAGGCAATTTTGTCGACTAGACGGGGTTTTCTTTTAAATCGGGCTCCCCCTTTTTGACTTTGGCGACGTGTTCGCCTCACGGTGCGTCGTTTGCACCCCATAGTGTTTGATACAAGCGCGGAGAAGCTAATTGAGCAATTAATTGCATGCGTTCCCTTAAATAGGTTTCCCCCATCCATTCAATATAGTGTTTCATGGCCTCCCAAGCTTGTTGTTGAGCCAGTTGAACCACCTGCTTCCAATGAGACCCATCCCATTGGTCTTGGTCAGACATCTCCCAGGGATGTTGACTCATATACAGTACCTTGGCTTTGGCAAAGGCCTCATAGACCTGACGGGAATCGTGACGTGTAATCATGCTGAAAGTACACTCGATACAGTCTGGGAGAGACTAATGCTAGGGTAGTAAACACCACCTTTTTAAGGACTGGTTTGTCCAACAGAAAGGTGTTTAATGCAGACCATTGTTGAGATCTGGCATGGGTCATAATCTCCACCAAGTCTTGTAAAGTACACAAGGGCCAATGACAATGACAGTACCATTGATACAACAAATATATATGGGCTTGCGTAAAAGCCAATCCCTCTATGGCACTTTGCTCATCCTCACGCGTTAACATGATCAAGAATGAAAGACACAGAGTTGGGTACACACATTTATTGTAAATCATAAAAATAGCAAAAGACAGTTCTGTCTTAATGATAAGACGTTGAATCCTATCACCCGCACGTTGATCATTTAATACTAAATTTTGCGAGTTCCATTGCGCTAAAAAGTTTTGAAAGGATTGATTCCTGGCTTTGGCTTTTAAAACCAAGAGCACATAATGTCCACAGGTATGACTGTCCATGGCTTGCAGGGTATGATCACTGGTAATGACTTCTTTCCATTGCTTGAACCAAGCTTGTAACTGTGAGTTCTTGTAAGTGGATAAGGGCAAACCATAACTATCAAAGACTTCACACACTAGGTTTCGCGTCCAAATAGCTAACCAATGTTCCCCAGGTTGACCTTCGGGGTCTGTGTTGACAATGTAAGCATCACTGAAGACTCTCGTTTTGGGAACGGTCGGTAACTTGTCCGCTGGAAATACACCTCAAAATGCTTTGTTCAATTCAGGATCTTGTCTGGCTAAGTGGTTCAGCACAGTATCACTCAGAGCTACGAACTCCATCTTAGCTGTTGACAGAATTAAGAATTCCGCCCCACAGATCTATTTCATAGATATTTTCATACTCGCTCCAGATCACCACGGTAATGTTGTGACCGACCGCTGCCCGGAAGTCAGTTTCATAACGGACATTGCCTGTGAGTCTGGGATTTCTGTACTCAGGGTCATCGGCATCTCCTGGGAAATTGTTGAACATGAACAGGGTGCAATTTGTGCCTTGTCCCCAATCCCCTGGCCGCATCATAGGTATTTTATGATGTTTGTAGGCCCCAGAGACAGTAAGGAATCGGTCATACCTTACCAAATCTTCTGCTTTGGTATTGCCCGTGAGTTCCAACGATCTGTACGGGTACTCTTCGCCGTCAATCGTCTGTCGGACTCGGGTCACCCCAAACTTTTGATAGGCAAAGGGGTAGTGTTGCAGACTTATATTGTAATTGGCGTAATTCATTAATCCTATAATGACCTTCCCCGGAACCCTGTTCACGAAAACGTTGTCTTGCTCCCACCGTGAGCTGTTGCCATCAAAGGAATACGTTCGGATTTCACTACGCACGACAGGATATTACACTTTCTTGGTTTTACTCAGACTTCGCTCTTTCGGCAGTCTGGTATACACGGAGGCATTGAGAGTGACTTTTTTCATCCAGAGAGTGACAAAGATGTCATTTTCTCCTAAGGTGGGAATCGTTTTGCCTACGGAGGTGGTCGTGTCTGGTGTTCCAAAGAGAAACATGTTACTGTCGTTCACATAGAGTTCTAGATCAATTTGAACCCCTGGCACCAGATATTTGCCTGTTCTGAACACGGACACATGAGGTTTGATCATAAAGGTATGATACGCATTGCCTAGAAAACGGCGGGTTAAGGCTTTGAGCCCTGTTTTTCCATCCCAGTTATTGGGATTGGGTTTATCATTAGTACCAGCATTGGTAGGGGTTAATGAAGCACGGACATTCAGTTCATTGACCCATCCTTGAGCAGCCAGGGTACTTTTTCCTTCTTCACGATTGTAATTCAACAATGTTTCTACGTAGGCTTTCTGGTGATAGGCATTGCTTTGCTCCGTCATCAATACGCCTTTGAAGGTCACATTCATTTGGTTAAAGAGGGTATGCCCAAAATTGTTGACACAATACACATATTTTGTGCCATTGCCATCTGAGGCAGCTGTTTCATCATCAACAAGACCTCCTGTGCCTGTGGTATTCATACGTACTTTCACTTCCAACTTGGTTTCATTTAGATCATAGTAATCGTCTGAGGAGGGGACCGTAAAGAGAATAGGTCGTCTCCCGTATTGGCAGATTTGAAACGAATCCAACGTTCGGCTTCATACCGATAGTCAACGCCAGGGACGTCGAACAGATTCAATGACATGTTGATAGAGTGATGGCTTAACGTCGTCTGCGACGCCTTTTATACTGTCGACCTTTGGTGGTCCATGGATAAGTGACTTTGTGCACACGTCCTTCTTTTTGTTTGGCTCGTCTATTCGCCTTTTTTCTTAATTGTCGTAGCTTCAAAGGGTCTACCTCATAAGTTTTGTAGGAGGTCATGGCCCAGGGATTCATGGGGCTAAAAATAGTGCCACCCCGTTGGTAGGGTGAATTGTAACGACCCACGGATCGTTGATGTTTGACACGGGATTGTGATTTTTGTCCACGTATCATGATTACACGTCTTAAATGTCTTTGACACGTTGTCGTTTCTTTTTATAGCTTTCGTTAGCTTTGGTTTTGGCATAAAGACCTAGGGCTACTACGTTTGAGACCTCGTTTTAACACTTTCCTGATCTTTTTACGGCCTTTTTTCATAAGCGTCTAGGCCATGTCCAATGGATCGAAGCAATGTGGGTCCAGCTAATTTGACCAACTCTTGTGGAAACCCTTTTCCGTGCAGAGTAGGGGTATGATATCGTGTGAGTGAACCACCCAACAAAGAAGACTGTGTCATCAGAGAGGAGAGAGTTCTTTTATACTCGTCAAAATCCTAGGGTCACGAGTGTTTTGCCCGTAGGTAGGACCAACAAGGATCCATGAAGTTTAGCTAGGGACACTTCAATGATTTCCACTCGTTTGCTACGCAGTCGAATCCATTCGCGATGAAAGGGTTCTACCGTAGCTCGGCCCTGACCCCGACGTTCCAATTCCACTTTTCTCAACAACGAATGTTTTTGGGCCCCAACGATGGTCGATTCGACTACATCGCAATACAACAGCACCGTTTGTTTGATGGTTCCCACATGTGTATTAAACAAGGCATTTAAGTTTAGGAATTGCCAATCGACTTAGCGGGTGAGATACATATACTGCTTTCCTTCCTCGGTCTTGACTTTGAATAACTCATTCCCTCCCATTAAATCGTGTGGTTTAATCCCCACAAAGTGTTCTCCTAACCACTGATACCCTTGATTGGTTCTCGTAGGAAGTGTGGTATCATTATAGGTGTTGGTGGGTAATGCATAGTCTAAATTGGGTCCTAATCGATACTTGTCGTTCTTGTCTTTGGTAAGGAGTCCAAACTTTTGAGCAAAGTCGACATGAATCCCAACGGTTGATAAGGGTTGCACTTTATTGGCCGCATCGCGAGCATAGACATCTTGATGAGGGACGGCTTTTAAAACCAGCGTGTCTTGTTTCCATTCAAACGTGGGTTTCCAAGTGGATTTCAAGGATACAGTGGCTGCATCATTTTTGGCTGTTTGCCAAACGACTGAGGTGGTCGTCACGTCTTTCATCATGGTTTGATCCATGTGGGTGATAATATTATGCCATAATTGAATACCTGAGGTGACCGGAAAATCGTTTCCCATCACGTCCTTTAAGGTCACCTCTTTGACTCTGGCTTTAAAGTCCACCAACCATGAATTATCCGCTGCTTGATAACGTTGGGTGAATGTATAACTATATTTGATTAACCCTATATCCTGATTAGAGGAAAGAACGGTGGGACTATGTCCCTCGTCAGCCACGGAGACAATCCATAAAATCGCTTGCCAAGTGTCTCCGTTAAATTCAATATGGTGGGTAAACGGACTTTAAAATTGTTGTTTTTATTGTTGGGAAATTCATCAGTGGGATCACTGATGAGAGTGATACGAAATTCATTCATAGTACTTGCAAGTCTTTTTTCCAAATCCAACTGTTGTACTCTTTGGGCCACCCTTTCCACGCAACAAACACTTGATTTCCTTTTCGTTTTAACACTTTTTCCACCCGAAATAATGCCTCATCGGGGAGTAACACCTTTGGAACATCTTGTTCATAAAACGTGCCTTTTATAGGTGTTCCATTCCATTCTGTGAGGATGTAGGTGAAAACGGGGCGGATGGTTGAAATCCCATGGACTAAAAAGACTTCTTCTGTCCAACCAGGCAAATACCCTTTTTGAAACACCCGATGTTTTTTGTTTAACCGTACTTTATCTCCCACAAGCAGTTTAGGACGAGCCCGTTTGCGTAACCGTTTTTGATACAATCGATTCCAAATCAAATATTCATTGTCCGGGGTCACATGGACAGGTTTTTCTTGAATACTGGAATGAACGGTGTGATTGTATTGCTCCACGATGAGGGGAAGGGCTTTCAAATAGGTGAGGGTATTGGCAGCAGTAAAATAACGATACGGTTTGGGTTTTAAGGTTTTAATCAACACTTCAGCTAAAGCGGCTTTTGTATCGCCTTGGCTGGAAAAATGATCTACTTGATGTTGTTTAAAAAAGGCTTGCACCTTAGCGTTCATGAACTCTGTCCCGTCGTCTGATTGCACCCGTTGAGTTTGTCTGGGGCTAGCTTGTTTCCATAACGTCTGTAACGCTTGAACCATCACCGCACCGGTTTTGTTTTTGATGGAAATGGCCCAGGCATATTTGGACAAGATATCCACCATGGTTAAAATGTATCGGTGACCTTTATTCCATTTGGCTAATTTCTGGACATCCATCAGATCCATCACCCACTGTTGATCGACTTTAAAGGCCATGACGGGTAAGGTAGGAAAATGGCGACGTCGGGGCTTGTGTAACGTGTAACTCAGCATGATTTCTAAGACTTGACGGGCTTTGGATTGTGTGAGTCCATGAGCTTTGGCAAATTTAGCCACACCTCCCAACGAGCCAGGTTGGGAAGGATCGACATAGGCGTTCGGCAGTTTTTGCGCCATGATACATGAACCACTGTGCTAACAAATAGGACAATGAATACGTCTTTGGACAATAGTGGGTCTTCAAATAGTGAAAAATCCATGGTCCCTGCGTGGGAAAATGACGTTACAACCAGGTGATGTAAATAGCGTAACGACCCCAACTGCGATAGGTCTCCATCATATACTCCAATAAGGCAATAGGTGCACAGCGCTCTTCTAGAATGGTTCTGTCTTGGGCCAGTTTTGGACAAATCCACATAGTGCATCTATACTCTAAGGTGTTCATGGTGAACAATGATATCTATGAGGAGGTGGCTGTGCTTAATACTTCAAAAAAAGTTTTTGGCACACCCTTCCGTTCCAATACATGAAGGACATGGTATGGCCAAAATGGTATCACCGGGTTGTTTTGAATCAAGATATCTTCGACACTTGGGACAGAACAACTCGTACCGCAATTGAGCATTATCTGTTTGTAATGCAGTGATTTGTCCTTTCATGACTTCAATTTGTTTATCTCGAACCTGTAAAAGGGCTCGGAGTTGTTTCAATTCAACTTCACAATCATGCCAAACGCGAGTCATGTCTAACAACCTTTTAGCGGACATGATGATGACCTCAAAATAAAACTAAATGGAGTAGATTGGGTTGCTTTATAACCCTAACCCTAACCCCTTGGGACTAGGGTTTATTACTATACTAACCCTAACCGTAACCCTAACAAAAGAACAAACAACAATATGGAGAGTTTAAAGGGTGTTTTATTCTTAAAGATTAACACATCTTATAGTAGGACCTTCGTTGAGGTCATCTTGGTGCAAATCTACTAAATGTTGAAAAAAACGTTCTTGGGCTGGGGTTAATGGTAGCCCTTGTTGTTTTCGTTTACGGCAATACGACGCCAAACTGCAAACGTTTTCTAGCAAATCACCAAAGGGCCAAGGTCCCTTCACAAAGTCAGCAATGGCTTTTTCGTTTTGAGACCAAAATCCTGTGACGGGTTTACACTGTTGATGACAGGCTTGCAAATACTTTTCATCTGCAG